CACAGGATGCTAGAAAAACCATGAAGGAGTTCTGGCTTCCCCCTACTGTCACCTGCACCACCCCCAGGACTACAAGCAAAAAGCAGCGAGTTTGTAGCAGCTGTTAAACAGGAGAGGAACCATTTCTGCCATCCAGCTTCCCAGCTCAGCAGGCTCACGTGTTAGGGGAGAGGCTCTGGAACAGCACCAGGCAATGCCAAATGTCCAAAGCTGCTTCTCTCAACTATTCCACTATTTGAGCAGCTCAGGCTGCCTAGCCCTCTGTGCACAAAGACAAAAACCAAAACGCAATGAGCACGCTCCAGACAGGAATTAGAGTACAGCATATCCGGTGGAGACAGGGGCTGGAGTGGCATTAAGGTAGGAAGAATATAATTACCTGAAGTGGATGGCAGCCAGGAAAATGGTATTAATTTATTTCAAGAAAGCCAGAAGTGCCCAAACCTGAATTTTACATTTAAATCTAGAAGATGGCAAATCACAGCATCCTGATTCCCTTCGTCCAGGGTCTGGCTGGAAGGAAATGTCTCCAGATGGGTTCTGACTCCCACTGCCTGTGACCACAATGCACCCCACCTCCATCTGGGAAGCCAGGTGCCATCCCAGCACAAAGCTCTGCTGTGAGGCACACAGCAGCAAGGCAATGCCTGCACCACACAGCACAGGAAAACCCAGGTCCCATTGCATACAGCTCACCTGCAGGCAATAAAGCCACGCTAGGTCACAAGCAGTCACAGGAACGTTCTCTAGAGCACAGCCACTATTTGGTCTGCTAATAATTATCCACTGCTCTGCAGAGATAAATGCTTAATCCTCTGGTTGTTGACACTGGAAATGGACCAGTTGGGCCTGGGGTGGATATCATAGAGGGGAACTTGGCTCCAGCTCTGATCCCTGCATCATGTGCTGTACAAATGTTCACTGGCTTATAGGTAATGGATTTCATAGGGTGTATGGGATCTTTCTATGGCAGAGCTAATCTAAAATAATACATGACCCAAGCATTCATTGTATCAAGTTTTCCTTCCTTTTCTGTGTTTTTTTTTTTTTTTTTTTTTTTTTTTCTTAGATTAACATTTCAATTTTCTCTTTCAGTCATTCCTCCTTTCCTTACAGCTTACCAGCTTACTCCTCTAGGACTGGTATCAGGGAGAGCTTCCCAAGCAGCAGTGCCCAAAGGACATTGAGATGGGCCTGCATGACCCCTACTCAGAGAGAAAGGAGCAGAGCTGATGATACCTGTGAGGGGAAAATTGTGCACACTGTTGTACACAAGCAGCCTCTGCCACAGGATGTTTTTTCATTTATTTCTGCTGGCCTTGTTTGCTTTACCAAAACAATATTTCCAAGCCAATGGAAATAAACTTCCAGCCCACTTGAGTACAGAAGTTTGCCATTGTTGTGCTCAATTTAATTTGAAAGTGATAGGGAGACGAAGAAGCAGCATTAGAAAAAGAGCTGAGCTTCCTATTGGATTTTGTATTGCTCAACAAGACACAGAGAGGGGCTGCTCGTTCTTCCATTGTTCCTGGACAGCCTCATCTCGACTGTGAGCACAGACTAATATCTACAGAGAATGGGAGCTTGAAGCCCAGCCTGTAAGAGCTGGAGAAAGGGCTCCAGCAATCCTGGGTTCTGCTTTCCTTGCTCTAAGAAAGAAAAAAGAAAAAAAAAAGAGTTCTGGAGATTAAATCTGAGATCTCACAATCCAAACTCCTGAGGTCTGCTCCTCACTCTGCTGCTGATTTGCAGTGCATGCAAGTAAACTTACTTCATCTTTCTGCCCCAAGCACTCCCATGCAGAATTACAGAATGGGTCAGAAGGCCCCTTTAGAAATCTCCTGGTCCAACACCCCTGCAGTGACCAGGGAACAGAGGAGATGCTACTACTGCACCTTGTGAGCAAATGCACACACACAAGATGCAGGCTTTGCATGAAGGATGCAGAGCACACACACACACTCCCCAAGCAGTTACCTGGTATAACCACAAATCACCATCACAGCACTCCAGCCAAGTGCCAGTTCTCAAGCTACAGCCCTCTGAGCCCATCAGCAAAAACCACAGATTATTTTCATCAGAAGGAATGAATACTGAGCTGCTTGCCTAGTGCCAGAGGTCAGGGCATATTAGAGCAAAGACAAATCTCATCCTTCCACGGACAAATCCAGTGTTTGTAAGCACTGTGCTAACCTCTGCCCCCGGGTGGAGCTGGTAGCACGCAGTCTGCAGTCCATCTCTGACTTATCTTTCTCAGCAGACACTTAATGATATCCCTTATCAGTGGCAGAATGCAGTCTTGGCGCTCCAAACCCACTAAGTTTAAGAGAAAGCAATAGCAAGCAAGCACACCATGAGCACCTGGAAAACCACCAAGCACAACAGGGTATGGACATCACACCAGCCCTGAATGACAGCTCCTTGTCCTGCTGCCTTCGCCCACTTCTCAAGGTAGGCGATGCAATAAGTGGAAGCTGTAGGGAAAAAAAAGGGAATCAGAAGCCTGGCAGTGAAGGAAAAGGTGAAAAGGGTACTCCAAGTAGATAGTGTCTAAAGGTATGAGTGCTGCTTCCCAACCTGCTGCTTGGCCATTTGTGACCATCCCATACAGAACATTCTCTAGCACACTGTCTGATCTGCTCTTATGCTCTCTAACACACGTGCTCCCTCTTGTTCCAAATAAATGGTCAACTTTACCACCTCAAAAGTGTCATTGCTGAGAATCTGCTCCAATAAACTGTGCAAAACTGCATCGATTCATTACATTGTGCTTTGCCTTGGGATGTTCTGGGGCTTCCTAACAATATACTTCCAGGCAGCAAGCTACTCCTTCCCAGTATTTATTGCACAACACAGGCAGGCAGACACACACCAGAAGCATGAAGAAACACAGCCATGTGTCCATCATTAAGCAGCTGTCTCTGGGAAGGGCAGAGGCTCTGCTGTCAGTAGTGTACATGTTCAAATTACATGATCTCAGCACTCCAAGAAACTGCATGAAAAGCACCACTTGGTACAGTAACACGGAAATTAGCTGAGATCTTGCATGCTTTCCTCTTGCAATGCCTCCTCTTTCCAGTGCTTTAATCTGTTGAGAACACCAGGAGCAGCATCTCCTTGATTTGCAAAGTCCTGCACTGATCAGTGCAGTGATCCACATCTTGGCAGAAATACAGACAGGTCTGCTTGCATGCACTTTCCAGGTCCTTGTCATTGGTCTGGCAGAGGTAAGGTGCTGCTCTGAAGGCCATTTAACAGCTGACACCCCCTGGCACATGTTCAGCATTCCTTCTGGCCTCAGAGGTGTTCACTCCTCTCCTGGAGCTCGCTGTGAGGAGCACTGTGCAGGAGACAATTTATGTGCTGTGTGCCACACAGAGGTCAGCTCTTTCTCTCCTGTGCCCTCCAAATGAATGTCTGTGGGACTGAACTATGACCCAATCAGGCAAAATACACAGTCATCCTGAAGTCCAATTAAGTTACCAGTCCTCTTCAGGCAAGGGAACAGTTCTCTTTCCTAGGATCAGTCTACCCAACTTGCCTCTTGATATTCAGTCAGCAAAAGATGCCAGAACAAGACTGCGTCAGCGTGGCAGCAAGGAGACAGCTTGTCTTCCAGCTTCCCAATCACGTGGGATGCAGGGATGAGCTCCTGGCTGACTCCCTGGCTGATGTCATCACACTCCATCCACTCCCCATCTTCCTTCTGGTAAAACAGATGGCACAGGGCAGGCTGCTTAGAGAGAGCAGGGACAGCATTTGGCCTTCCCATCACCTGTCAGCTAGATACCATCACACCACATCTCTGCATGGTGGAGCATCAATGCCAGGTGGAGCTTGAAGTCACAGAAGCAAAGCTTGTGTGCCACCTGCCTTTATACATTAGGACTGGTCAGGCACATGGGCAGGACATGACATTCCAGCAGCATCTGTGGGCAGCCTGCACATCCTTCTCAGACCATCCAGCTGCACAGAAGTCAGAAAGCTTCAGCCCAGGCTCTCCACCAGATCAGCAATGGAACAGGTTCTACATGGCAGAAAGAGCTCATCAGCCAGCGACGCTGGGTCTAATCCATCACCCAGACAAAACAGAGAAGCCTGGAAGCAGCCTCATTTAGTTACAGCTGGAAGAATTCTTAACAAGAAGCTCCCAGACACGTTCAGTAAGCATCAAAAATTAAATCAGCCCATGCCTGTGGCTTCTCTCCTTCACTGCTGGCCACACCAGCCCTTGTTAATGTGCTGCACCACCTGCTTTCTCCAGACCACTAGAGTCAGATGGCACGACAGTTGCAGTCTCCAGCTCATCACTGGAGCCTTTCAGAACCAAGAACTCCAGCAGAATGTCCAAGAGGCAGAAAACCAGGTGCCTGAAATGGAAAGAAGACAAAGCTTAGCCAGTAGAGCTGGAAGATCAGCTCCAGACACACAGGAGCCAAAGAAAGGCAAGGCAGAAACACTGACTGTCTTCAAGAGATGAAAGATCTCAAGCCCTACAAGAAATGTTTCAAGGGATGGTTCAGTACCCCCACACCCAATCCAGGGAGTGTTTGAAAGCTGATGAGCACTGCAGAAAGCACAAAAGCATCTCCTAGAGCAAGACAGCATGTGCATTTCACTGCAGTTAATCACTTGAGGCTTGCTTCCCAAATGCACAGCAACAGGCATGCAGAAAGACATCACGTACAAATATATGCAGTTCCCAGAGCTCTTCTACAACCAACAAATGAAACCAGGGTTTGTTTTATTTCTTTCCATGACATCTACAAACTAAGAAAGCACAACACCATAGTTAATGACTGGCTCAACAGCCTCCAGCCACACAGAGGTTCCAAAACACTTTCATAATCATCACGCCAGGTTCCTTGATAGCATATGAAAACTGCATGTGAAGCATATGAAGATCAGCCAGATAGATTCTACATGAAGCAGCTCATGTCAGAGCACAAAGCACAGCTGACAGGCCCCACAGCAAGGTAAGGAGACCATAACCAAAGTACCTGTTTATAACAGGATGGCCCAAGGACTCCAGCACCAGGCTCCAGCTCATGCGACATTTATCGGTTCCAAGGATTTCTTGGACCACATCTGTCAACACCAGAGGCAAAGCTTTAGGAACAGCACATTTTCACTGTAGGAAAACAGGCTCAGTCTTCTCCTGGTGGGTGCCAAATCAAAGTTTGTGATGGTGCTTCTGAGTGAGAGGCATCTTGTGCCCAACATTACCGTGAGAGAAAATATCTAAGGGCAGGCTGATTGCCAAGGAAAGTGTTTCTGCCTGAAACAGAATGTAGTGGTAGAACTTTTTCACTCCCAAAGGACACTAAAGGCTCCTTACACTCACAATGCCATTCAATGGAAAAGTCACTTTATCACTTTTAGAGCAAGAAGCCAAGTGCATGGCTTCATGACTTCAGCAGTGGCACCTCTAACAGCAGGCACAAGCACAACATGGCACAGGCCACATTTTGTTGGAGTGGCTCATAACAGCTATGCTGCAAGCTCCAAGAAGGGGCACATGGCAGCCTGCACCTGAGAATCACTGTGCCCTCTGTCAAGTTGTACTGCTCTCTAAATGCTTATACAAGCTGCCTAGAAGTGGGAAACTTGCTTTTGCATGCAGGAAGCTATTAAAATCCCATAGGTTATGAATGTTTCCCAGTATGTTGACACATGCAGGCTCCATCTCTGTAGCTGTATATCTAGAGATGACAATGCACTGGAGAGTTCTCCAGTCTCACCCTCAATGGCAGGTGACATCTTTGGGACACACTTACTAGGCAAGATCCCCATCAGGCTCTGCAGGGCCTGCTCTGCAGCTGCTTTCTTCTGTTCCTCTGTCCTGGCTGGTTTGGGCACTTCTGGCAGAACTCCTCCAGGCCAGATGGACTCCTGCAGCAGCTGGAGGTACTGCACCCAGCGCTGGGTGCAGGTCAGGTTGACCACCTGGACTTCCAGCCACCTGTGGAGAGAGGTAGGAGACATCAGGCTTGAAGCAGCCCCAGAGCTTTCTGGAAGGAAAATCAGCTTGCTGGGTAAGTTAACACAGTTTTCAAGTATAGACATCAAACATTTTCCCGAGTCACTCCCCATCAGGGCTCAGAGGTGCCTGCAGCCAGCATGGAGGAGACATATCACCACCATCCAAGCTGGCCAGGGCATGTTCCTAAATGAATGGCTCAAGGTTTTATGCCACTTCCCTGCACAACAGTGAAAGCCACAGCCATCGATCAGAGCGCAACACCAACTGAAGTCCTTCTTCACAGAACAAGGAGTAGCCATAAGCCAAATCCTCGATGCCACCGAGGCCAGCAGGAGAGTCCCCACTGACTGAGAACCGGGGTCTGGAGAGGGAGAAGGCTCACGATTTCACCAGGACTTCAAGAACCGCAGAGGAGCTGGCAGGCAGGGCCAGAGACCCGTTCCTCTTGGCAGCTGGCGTTCGTGCTTGCAATTCCGTCACCACTACGCCCCGGCAGCTCATAGTACATCCAAGAGCACAGGCCCTGCCAAGGCAAACTTTATTTAACCTGCACTCTGCCAGACTGTCTGCATTCTTCTCCGGCGAGGCATGTAGGCCAAGGGCATCTTTCCCTGTGCAGCAGGGACAATGCGAGCGGAGCATCAGGAATGGCAACACGGAAGGTAAGAGTGCTGAACAGCAGGTAGGCCATGAGGGTGCACCAGAGCCATGGGGATGCGGGCAGTGGGCACAGCGGGGTGGGATTGAACTTGGGCATCTGAGAGGTCTTCACCAACCTGAATGATTGTGATACTCGTGTGTGCTGTGCAAGCCCAGAAACAGCGGTGGAGGAGGAGCCTGTGTGCTCAGCTGGGGACCACGAGTTCCTATGTTGCTACATGATAGCGCAGCTTCCACCAGGGGAACAGGACAAGATGTCACAGCAGTGTCTTGTGTTTCAAACGTGCCTTTTCCCAAACAATCCTTTGAAAGAGTTTTTATCTCCAGCAATCAGTAGCTGAACGCCTCAGATCATGGTAAACCTTCCAGCCATCCCCAACCAAATTAAAGTGCTAAGCTGTGGCTCCTCTAGGGAGAAAAGCTTTCATTAACATGTTTTCAAATACAATCTGTTTCTCTAATTGAGAAAGCACTTGACAGGCAACAGAAGCTCAGAGACTTGGGGACAGAGCTGCAAACAGTACAACTCTGCATCTGGGGACACCAGATCCAATGCTGACTTGAAATTCACCTCAGCAACAGTCATCCACCACCCTCTAAAAGGTTGCAAAAAGCAAAGAAGAAACATTCTTTTTCTTAAGAATGCTCTCAAAATAGCAAAAACTCAAACAAATAGCGCACAGAGTGAAAGCTGAACTGTGAGAAGGCAGCACACATTTCCAGACAGCTTGAGAACGGGCTGAGAAGTGACGGATGCTGGAAGGCCTGGTACAGACAGCCTCCCATTCCCAGCTCTTTGCTGTCTATAAAATCAGCACAACCAGGCAACAGGACCTCCAAGTAACACCTATAAATCTTATCGCATGTGCACGCATTTTGATCAGGCAAGAGCTTGCAGGTCTTGGTTCCCACAGTTACAAAACATAGCAGATGGATTTTTTTTTTTCCCCTGGTCTGGCAGCTCCTTGCCTTTCCATCAGGGAAGAGAAGGGCTGGATCCCAGGGCAGAAAGGGAGAAAGAGAGACCCAAAATGACAGAATATGCATGAAAAAAGAAGAGATCAGACAAGAACAGGGCTGAGAAGAAAGAGAAACCAAAGCTAGGTGCAAATGGAAGACTACGAACAGGGAATCATAGAATGCCTTGAGCTGGAAGGGACCCTTAAAAGGCCACCAGGTCCCACAGCTCCATCAGTGCTCAGAGCCCCATTCCCTGATCCTGTGTCTGCAAGGACAGGGCACCACCACCTCTGTGCCATCTGTGACAGTGCTCTGCTACCATCTCTGATAAAACATTCTCCATTCTAAACTTCCCCTCCTATAGTTTGAAACCATTTCCCCCTTGCCTATCACAACACATGCTGTGGGTTCATTCCCTTCTGTCAGTCTATCAGCATGTGTTGACCCATTCCAAAAGCCCTGGGAAGACAGCAGTCTTCAGACTGGTGCCACAGCATCCTTGAGTTCTGCAACTCATGGAGAGTCATGTCAAGCTCTACTGAGAAACCCACCTGAGCAAGACCCAGATTTCTAAGGCACACTGACCTTTTCACCAGGCAGACTTGCTGCATCAGCACCAGATCAGGTTTAGCAGCTCAGGCTTCTCACACAGGAACTCCAAACATGCGTGGGTCCAAAGCTGCCCCTCACCAGCTGATCCCAAATGATTTTTCTTGTACTATTAAAGTATTAAGCAACAGATCCGTGTGCCACATCACAAACACACATCCTTGCTTCCAGGTAAAAATAAATGTGGTAAGAAGCAGAAATAGAGCTATCCTTTCCAAGTTACTATTTCCATTCTGGTATTTAATGAAGAAATAACCTTAATAAGAAAAATAAACCCATCACCAAACCATCTCCTTAGACCTTGGCAGAGACCAGAAATAGAGAGAAAGTGACCTGCAGGGCTCAGACATTCAAATGCTTCAATAATGCCCAATGTAAGACGACAGGCTGCCAAGGCTACGAGCTCCTGGACATTCGTCTGGGGGTGCATAACTTGCCCATGTTGTAAGGGTCCTCTGTCTGAAATAGCTGCTGATGGAGGAATTAAATGGCTGCTAAAAAAGAGCTGTTTTAATGCCATGGCTTAAATTGGAACTCCAAGGTCAGCTGAAGGGACCCATTAAGACAAGAACTGCAAAAGTGCTCTGGGAATGATGAACAAGGCCCGTGTAGCACAGACCTTGGTCCTCCTCTGCCCCCTGAAAGAAACAGGGCTGCTAATAGGGAGCAGCCTGGTCAGGCAGGGTCAGGAACAAAGCACTGCTTATGAACCAGAGCTTACCTGAGAAGAGGAAGCATCACTTAATGCTCTATCCATAGGGTTCACCTGCTGGAGAGGGCTCAACTCCCTGAGTAAAGGGATTGTTTCTTCTGGAAAATAAGGATGGACCACAACTGGCCCAGCAAACCAGAAGATACAGTACTATGCATACTTACAAACAGCTCTAGAAGCTGAGAAACCTCTGCTCTCCTCCACCAAGGTAAGGCTGAGAACTGCCAAGTTCATTTGAGCAAAGCAATGGCTGGGTTGAACAGGCAGGAAAACCTTTTTTTTAGCACCAGTCGTGATTACAAATGAACATACAACAATTGTGAACCCACCCCAGACCAGGGACTGCAAGGATATGGACCATATAGACCACATAGAGACTGTGTTAGGGAGGGAAAGATGGGAAAGTTTTTCCTTGTCTGCTTTAGCTGTATAAACACAAATAGCTCTGTACGTATATATGATCTGTGCAGAACAGTAGCAGTAGTGCAGGTCAGGCTCTACTAACTCTCAGCCCAGTACAAAGCTTCTGATTCCCTGAAGTCACTTAACACAGCACAGCTAACCAGAAGCTCAAACAGGGCCTGTGAGACCCAGGTAGGGATTTAAGGAAAAGGCAACATCTGGAAACGCACAAGGCAGTCAAACACTTGACTCCTATGAAATCAGAGAAGGCTGATGCTTAGATCACCAGGCCATCCTTCCTTTCAAGTCCTCGTCCCCCAAATTCTTCCTCAAATGGTGCCTGAAACAACAAGAAAGGCTCAGAAAGAGGGACACCTGAATGCTACAAACCATTTCTGAACAGAGCTTATAAACCCAAAAGAAACAGCTGGAAGTGAGCACAGGGAGAAGGATGGAAAAGCACACAGGAGAGCTGTGGCCCCAGGCTCAGCACCTGCTGCTAGAGCCCATGCTCACCTCCCAGGGCCACATGCCAGCAGCAGCACGTGTAGCTCAGAGCTCACACACTCAGCCCCACCACCTTCAGAGCAGACCCACACTCATCCAGCCATCAGTCAGCTCTTAGCAGAGGAAGGAAGCAGGAAAGAAAAACAAAAAAGTCCTCCATAAATCAAAGAACACGAAGCATCACAAGTCCTTTTAAACTTCTGGCCAAAGACACGCATGCAAAAAGTAAACTATCCTTCTCACCTTACTGGAAACGCTCCTCTCCTGCTGCTCTATAAAACGTTTACAATTGTATATGCTGTGAACAATGCGTCCTGTACCCCTGCCTGAGCACACATGATGAAGTGTTTGACCAGCGAGGCAGCAGCCCATGGCCAAGTGCCTTCCCCTCGAACAGAGTGTCTTGCCAGCCTCCCAAACACAGCTGTGCCAAGGGCAGCTGCTCTGGGGGAAGGAAGGAAGGAACACACGAAGCTGCAGGGAGCTCACACAGGTAGCAGAGGCAGCGTGCTTGGTAGTCCTGCCTGCCGCAGCACTTTGCTGATGTGGTGCACTGAGATTGGAGCTGGAAAAGCACTGGGAGATGAAGGGCACAGCATGCACAGCATTTCCCTGGGGGCAGAACGCATCAGCCTTGCTGCTGGGAGGCGCAGAGCTTTACCTGCATGTTCACATTTGCTGCTGCCATGTTACTGGCTGCTCTCTCCAACACATCTGCTGCAAAAAAGCAAGCTCAGGAACACGTGGCTCCAGCTCTAACATCTTCCCACAGTAAACCAACATAGCTGCTTTGCTGGGTTCTTACTTTTTTCAAGTTAGATCTCCCTGCAACACCGTGGGGCTCAGGAAAGGGGGAAAAGCTCTGCAATGAAAAAAATCATCCCCCAAATCCCCTGATTTTGAACAAAGCATCCCAGCTTTTTGATAATATCTTCATCAAGTATTTATTGAGCCAATTAAGCTCTCAGCAGTGCCCCAGGGAGAGGCCAGGCTGTCTCAGCCAGGTCCTGCTCAAAGCAGATTGCTTCATTAGCCCAATTCAGAAAAAAAAAATACTTAATAACAGAATTAACCCTTCATGAGCTGGAGAAAAACTACAGCCCACAAGGAGAAATTACATCCCTTCAATCTCTTCCTGCTTATTCTTCTCTGTTGGAAATTTTCTTTCTTCTTAATTTGGAAAAAAGAAAGTTGGCAAGTCTCTAATTGCTGAAACAGAGTCAAAAGAAAACGAGATGCAGTTAAAATAATGTTGCAATTGTTATCAAAGTAGAGAGCACTCGCCTCATTCTAGCGGCTGTTTTTGGAAGAATGCTGCCTGTAAATGAGGGGGAAAGAATTGTTTGGGACAAAGATTCAAAGCCAGATCCAAAATTTCCAGGTGCTTGGAGACAACTGAATCAAGGCTCGTTTCCAAGCGGCCTTTTATTTACTTTACACACACGAAGACACACACAGTCCTAAAGATTCCTTTTGCTGCCGCACCCCAGGCTTGCAAGTCCTGTTGCTGCTTGCAGCTGCAATGGCCAAAGCCAGAGGTGAGGAGGAAGATGCCATAAGGCTGCTTGCCCTGCATCCAAACTATTGCTGCCGTGCAGGCAGGGGCATGGGCTTGCAGCAAAAGAGCAATGAGATCTTTGCAGCCCTCACTGCAGAGCCAAAGGGATGCTGGCTAACCATGCTCACAGCAGGGAATAAGGCAGAGGAACAAATGGACTGAAGCACTCCACCTGCAGCAAAACATGGGACATGTGGTGAGCTACCTGCCAGCAACAGAGCTAAAGGTAACCGAGTGCTGGGAACAGCTTTAGCACCAGCCTTCCTGGCTTCCCCTGGTACCAGAAAGCACAGGCTGGCTCTCCTCTGTAATAATGGCTTTTTCAGAGATAATGCAGAGAGAGAACAGATCTCTGCAGTGAACATCTGCCCCAGCACAACCACATCCTGCTCTGGGTACAGAGTGGTTTTGCACCATGCTTAGCACCAGGTCTTACTGCTGCTTTGGATGCAGACATGGCTTGTGCAGAGCTGACAGCTCTGGGCAGCCAGGACAAGGTGCTGGCCATGGGCAGCACATCCCCAGCACGCTCACGCTGCAGGCAGGCTGACTCATGGGCATTGAAGGGGATCAGGCAACACTACATGCTGGTGGCACTTGAGGTAGAGAGCATCAAGGGGGCTGCCATGGGGCTTTGTTTTTGCCAGTTCTGCTGGCACAGAGATAAAGGAAGATAAAGCAGAAAAAAAACCAGCAAGAAACACAGAAGAGCTGTGATCTCTGACACATACCACAAGTGCCCCAACACCTGGCCTGACACCAACAGGCTCCAACACAGAGCCCTGAATCCAAGAGGGCAGCAAAAAGGAAACCCAGGGTAGCAGAGCCCACCCGAGCCATCCTGCATGATGGCTGCAGCACCACGATGTGCTCTTACACAAGAGCAAGGGGCAGAGATCTCTATGAGAGGAAACTGGACCTGTGCAGTCACCCAGATTGCTGCAGGGACCCCAGGGTTGGCTGCAAGGACTGCCTGCTGCTCTGCTGACAGCCTGTCAATCCCAGGATGCTGATCTGAGATGCTCACCTGGTGGGACTGTAGTTCCCAACTATTGGTTGCCTTGCCTTCAGAAAGTAACACGGTCCTGAGAGAACCCCAGCAGAAGCCAAAAGGAGCTGGCAGACCCCGACCCAGTGACAGCATGCCACTGAGGACAGATCGAGGGCAGGGTGCAGGGTCACAGCACAGCATTCTTTACATGCCCACCATTTATTTTTACTGCTGCTTTGACTCACGGGCTCCAAAAAGGACGTGGATTCTCTAAATGCTTTTTATCTCTTTCCCTGAAAAGCCCAGAATAGCCCCATCTACTCTCAGCAAACAGGTTCCTGGTGAGAGTTCATCATTCCCAGCCCGTGGGAGGGAGGTCAGACAGATGGGCAGGGAGCAGGGCTCAGTTACAGGGACGTGGAACATACAGGGGCCGCTGGAAGCTCCCCTCCACCCACCTCTCCTTTCAGCTCCAAAAAAGGATCACTCCCTGTTACATAATGGGATGAGCACTGCTCAGATGCACGCTTGCACACACAGCTCCCTTTTACTTAACAATACCTTTTTCGGGCATACTCTGCACTGCCATCAAGCTGACAGTTAGCAGAGACAGATGGTGCCTGGCTCCAGTGACTGCAGCTACAGAGGAGGGGGAAAAGGGACCAGAGAGGAGCAGAGTGGGATAGGGAGGGCTCAGCCATCAGCAGCACGAAGGTAATGCTGGTGGCTCCACAGCAGTGCTGTAGAGACTAAAGCAAAGGAGGAGAGGTAGCTCCCTGCAGAAGTCTGACTTCTTCATAGACTGTGCTGCTGCTTTGATTTTTCTACTCTCACACAGGGCACATGGAGCTCACAGCAACAGCCGTGTCCATAGAGGTGGCTGCAGGAACAATATGTTTCTCATGGAGCCCAAGATGAGAGAGAAGCCTGCAGCGACAAGCCCCTTCTACTTTCTGATAAGGACAAGCAGAATTCAGACACATCCCATCCCAAAGACATGTGGTACCTGCACCCTGCAGGAGATGCTGACCGTAGCACTAAGAAGCCACAGGACTTTGCACCATCACCTCCAGCCCAAGGTTTGCATGCAACACGTTCAGGTTCACCCAGACCCATTGAAGCTGAGCTGTTACAAACACATCTGTCCTCACGCTGCTCTGCCAGCACAACAGACAGAGCTCCTCCAGTTTCCAGAGCCAGGCATGTGCTTTGTATATGACAGCTTCTCTAGTGGAAAATACCAATGCCACGTGTCAGTGCTGCAGGCTCCCTGGGTGACTGGGACACAGCTTATTAGGAGGCTATGACACGCATGCTCAAGCTCTCATAACTCTGTGCTTACATGCAAGGATTGGGTTCCAGCTCATTCCCCAAGACATCAGAACCCATTTTGGAGAAACTGGACTAACACCCACCTCCTCCCACCCGAGGAAACCAACTCGAGTGTGACAGCCAGCAGGCTCTGACCTCAAAACACTTCAGCAACCTCTGCTGAGGGCAGCTCAAGTTACCACCCAGGTTACAGTGTGCTGGGCTGCACATTCTGGCACTGTCTTTGAATGCCTGCTACAGAAGAGAGGGTGCAGGAGTGGGAAAAGCATTGCCCTGAGGCTCCCCTAGCCCAAGTACTTCTGGAAAGGCTTATCTTTTACACTACAGACCATGTCCTCAGCTGGTGATAGTCTCTGACCTGCACAAAAAAAGCCAGAAATGCTCTGTTTGTGTGTCTTGGCCTGGTGCCTTACCACACAGAGGCACTGGCCTCAGAAAGGCTTGGCAAGCACACACCAACTGGAAAGGAAGTCTTTCCCTAATACATCTGTGGGTCAGTGCCCAAGGCACAGGCACTACTGGTCCACCACAGATTGGAAGGGGATGCATCAGTGAGAGCAAAGGCCCTGGGAGCTGTTACTTGACAAGTCCCTGTTCCCCATGCCTGTTTATTCTCCTTTTGCTGAGAACACAAGCTGAGGCCCTGAGCAGCAGGAGTGCAGCAGAAGCCAAACTCTCCCTGGAGAGCTGAGGAGTTGGGCATATTCACTCCTTCTCTAAGGAGCAAATTCACATAGCTTTCCACTGTATCAAAAGCCAGAAGGCTGGCTCCTGGCATTATACTGCTGCTCACAGGGAAAGCAAACCTCCAAGATATTTACTTCACAGAGCTCCATTTTAGAGTGACTCCAAAGGCAGTGCCACCATGCAGCTGGGAGGATGGTCACTGAGGTCTTACCTTTGAATGAGGGTCCCAAAGAGCAGGTGGAAGACCTTCTGGATATTCTCTATGCACAGCCAGCTCCAGTGATCCATCAGCAGTAAACGCAGCAAGTCCAGGGCCAGGTCAGCCAAAGCAGTCTCAGAGTCTGCCAGGAGGAAGAGGAGGATCAGATAAGTCAGCTCAGAGCCTAAGCAAACAATGGTGAAAAGCAGATAAACTCCACTCTTTTCCCCAACAGTCTGAGCAATGCTTTGCTCCCCAGTTTAACACCTGGTGCAACATGCAGGTAGTCAGCTTGTCAATCCTGCCCTCATCATCCTCATTTCCACTTCCACTCAAGCAGCATGGACCTGCAGCCACCAGAACACAGCAAGGGCACTTTTGTTCAGTCCCTGCTAACTTATCAACTCCTAAACTACGCATGATGGCAGTGCGACCAAAACTGGTGAGAAGGAAGACTGCCAGGAGCAAGGAACACTGCTGAGGACCATCCTCCCCTGTTTTCCTGAACGTTCCCCTAACGCATGCAGTTCTCCAGGCACAGAGCTCTGCTTGGTGTCTGTGGGCTGCCATCGTGTGGCAGGTCTGAGTCTCAGCAGGACGATGGATGGAACATCTGATTAATCCAGATGCATCAGTTCTGACAGTAACACTCCTACATCCAGACAGAAACACCTGCTGGCACAGATCAGGTACAGCAAAACTTCTCTCATCCTCAGATGGATAAGAAAGATGAGAAAGCCTAGAGTAAAAACAAAATTCAGAGTAAAAATAAAATTCAGCTTGCTAGAGAAACAACTCTATGCTGCCTGAATGCAGAGCATTGTAGAGATACAGAACAAAGCTGTCAAAGCACAGCAAATCTGCCTGAGATAACCACTCCTAGGCCAGCATCTCAAGCTGATGCATTAAGGTTGATGCAGAAACCTGCAGAACTACTAAGCAACTTTCCAAGAACTCATCTTTCAACCTCTTCCCCTATAGAGAACTGATGGAGGTAAAGGGGAGAGTTTCTGAACCCCATCATGCCTGCTTCCCTCCTTGCTACTCATGAATAACTTGAGGCCATTTATTTGGAGGAATTCAGGCGTTTGAGTGCACTCAGCCTCTTGCTCTGGGCCACACACAAGTTAATCCCATAGTTGTGCCCTTGGAGCTGACTGCCCTATGCAAGAACCAGAGCAGACTGCTTGCTTCACTGCAACTCCATAGGTCAAAAAAAGTGCTGTCAGTGAGCTGTTTGTTCCCGTTTGCATCCAAGCCTCCTTCCTTCCCAAGCTGCTGGCCACTCTCCTCCACCCAGCATGCAGATAGGGATTCTGCTTGCCTTTAGCCCAGACATACATTCCTTTTGTCCAGCCAGACCAGTCTGCCCTGTCTCAGCCCACAAGCATTTGACATCATTTATGTACAGGCTTCCTCAAGGGTGAAGCTAACTTGGCCTGTCTCTATCTCCTGTTCTCTGTACAGTGCTGACTTCCTATTCCAGTCCTGTTCCACAGCAGCTCCAAAACAACTGCAGGCATGTGTTCAAAGCTTACAGGCAGAGCTGGTAGCACAGGCTGTTTCAGAACCCCAGGCCCATCCTGTCACAAGCACGTGTTTCCAGTCAGAGCTTGTCAGACTTTCAAACCACTGGAACAAAATTTCTGGAACATTCCAGCTGATAGAGTTCAGCTATTCCAAGATTAGAGAACGTTTTTGCTCACTCTCAGGGTAAGCTTGTAGTTGCTCTGAGAGGACAAAGACCTCTGTGATTCAGAGGAGGGATCTATAATCAGAAACTGAACATTGTTCCTTTAGCTGAGGTTATGCATTTGCTATTTGCAATGAATTCATCCCAACTTAAAAGACTCTCAAATAGCCTTGATTTGTCCATGCACTGTGAAAGGATAACTTGAGACTATCAAGAAACCATAATCTGGCATTTAATCCATGTAAAAGAGCTTGATTTGACAACATTAGCAGTTTAGGTAGCATATCCTAAAGAAATGCATTTCAGCAGTAACTGTAGTGAGCACACTAACATGAAAATCTACAGCAGCACAAATGAGCCAAGACTCGAGTTGCCTCCAACAGCAATAAGGATGAGAGCAACTTCCCAAAAGCACCACAAAGGACTCAGCTTGCTGCCTCATCAATCAAGCAGCAACAGGCAGGGGACCAGATGCTCAGCAGGCAGCTGGTGCAGGACCTGGGGAAAAAGGCTGGAGCAATGGGGCTGAGCTCACCCGTGTCCGTGTCCAGATGTGCTCCCTGCTCCAACGTGTTCAGCCCATCTGTATCCTCCTGCACAGATTTTTCCTTGGCTTCTTCGCTCCCCTCGCCCTCAGGAGCTTTGCTGGGGACTGCTGCCAGCAGCTTCTCCTGCTTCTGGATGAAGGACTCCATAGCAGCCAGCGACAGCGTGCCAGAGACCTACAAAAGCACTGCACTATCAGTTCCAGCCTGTACTGCCCAGACAGCCCCCAGCACCCAATACAGCACCTAGAGGTGCTCAGAGCCTTTCTGCAAAGGCCTGACATGCAGGTACAAGGCTGCAGCAGCCACAATTGTGCACGTGGATAATTCCAAACCAGCACCTCAACAGGGCAACGATCAGGATCATGAAAGCATCATAAGAGGGAACTGAACTTACAGCACTGCCCTCCCTCACAGAGTACACAATCCTGTCATGTGCTTCACTCACACTCATCACTGGAGTGATTCTGCTGGATGGGAACCTCAGCCTGGACCTGGAGAAGGACACAGGACACAGTCAGGATTTCTCCCACAAGCTGCAAGCAATGTTTCCCAGTTTCAGCCAAGAGCTTGTACCAGCTGTTTGTTAAAACTAAGTCTGATAGGAGCTAAAGAGGTTCCAAGCAGCACCTGCCCCACCAAGGGCAACAAAAGCTAGCTGCAGAACCATGCAATGAAAGCTTTAGAATTGTCTTCAATCACGTTTTTAAATACTGGCATTGCCACAGCTTTCCAATATCCACCACAACACCTTCCTGGTCAGGTGTTTTGGATAAGAGTCTGCATGCAGATGCACACGATGCTGTTCAGCAAGGTATGAGCACATCAGCACATCCAGAAAAGCGTTCAGACAAGATCTGAGTTGAGACACACCCAGCAGCATTGTGAAATTTAATTATGAACACAGAGGTAAAGGAGGATACGAGAGGGCATTTCAGACTTGGGACACATAGTAAAATAGTCTGTTTATCATGAAGGAATGTTATTTCCAGCCAAGATGCTTTAGAAGTTGAACTTTTTTTCCCCTCTTTTTGTTCTCACACAGTTTTTGTTAAAAAAAATTTATCCAATGCTTTTCCTAGCAAAACATCTTTTTTTTCCCCTGGAACAGCAACAACAAGAGCTATATTCATGCTGTGGAAGTCTGATCATTCCTGGAAAAAATCTTTAATCCAAACAAGGGTTCAAATGCCCTTCTCAGCATGCAAGAGAGAAAGAAACTCAACTGCAATTGACAGCTGAAGAAGCCCTTACTTGTTTGCCTTCTTCCCATCTGGCTGATATTTCCCATCCACTTCAGACTCACTCAGATCCTCTGTGGGGCTCTGGGGCTCTGACCTGGGGAATGCTGTCTTCAGGGTGTCCACAATGGCATTTACAACTATCTGCAGCAAGAGCCAGGAATACCATCAACCACTGACAGACTTTTCTTGAATAGGAATCAAAGAGTTTTAAGCCTTGCAGTGTCCCTGTTTTCCATGTGGAAAAAAAAAAAGCCACAACACAGGCTCTGAGAGGGGCTCTCACCCTTTGTGGCTTCCTGGGCAAGCTCAATGCATCTACACAGAGTTTGACTTTTCTAGCTGCTGCTGCAGCAGCCATGCAGACACGTGCAAAGAGCATTTGGTGCACTCAAAGGAGGTTCACTCTGCCCATTTCCCACCACCTACCTTGTCTATCCTGGAGACAACAAAGGGCTTCTTGACAAACGCAATCCTGGCGTCGGTGTTCAGAGCAAGGAACTCCTGCACCTCCTCACTGTTTGCAATCTCAGGGACTGCACACAATTGCTGTAAGGGGAGAGGGTTTTAGCTTTTCTCAGAGTGAGCATCCCAGCTTTCTCACATGAAGTGCAAGCAGAAAACACCTGAGGTGCTCCAGTGCATCAACAGACAACTGTTCTGAGCCACTGCTTTATGCCAGTAAAATAAAATAGGAGCCAGCACAAGAGCCCAGCTCCCAGGTATCACAACAGCAGTGAGCTGATTGCTGCACCAAAGGAAGGGGAAGAGTGAAAACCATCTCAGCAGCCACAGGAAGCAGTGGATACAGGCATCAAGTACCTCACCTTCAAGAAAGATTCCAGCAGACTTTTTCTGGCTTCCACTTTATCGCTGTCCATATTTCCAAATGGGAGATCAGGGAACAGTTTCTTTGGTCCTTTGATATCTGGAAATAAAATGCACATTTGTGAGCTCGAGAGAACTGCAAGAGCTGTATTAAAATCTTAATGCTCTTTTACTTAAAATGATCACTACTGTGCCTCAGCCCAATACACACCCCAGATCAGGCTGAGTCAGACCTTAAATCCATCTGTGTAGAAATGAGGTAAAGCCAATTTTTTATTTATGATATAGCTCATACACAACACTTGCTCACACAAGCAAGATGCTTGCAGATTGCTAACATTTTAGTGTTGCTGTTCATTGCCAAGGTGCAAAACTGCACAAAGCTGTTTGGGAATGTAATGCAATAATGGGATGGAAAGCACAGTGATAATAGCAGGGCAACAGCCTTTTGCTGTAGCAAACGAGAATGAGCCATACAGCAGCTGTGGATGCAGAAATGAAGGAAAAGAGCTGCTCACCTTTAGAAAACCTCAGTTATGCAGGGATCTCCAGCAAGAGATGCCTTCACCTCCACTGCCAAGCCTTAAATGAGGTCTGGGAAGGGGTGGAACCTGACTCCACCCCTTCCAATCACTCAGGTACACTGTATGCACCTGAGCTCCCCTGCAGTGGCCCTGCCTTCCCACCAGTGCCCCATCACTGTTTCAGGCCATGTCTCAGCATTTCCACTACAGGGAACAAGGATGATTTCTGCAACACTATAATTTGCAAGCTAAAGAAATCCCACTTCCCATCAGCTCTGCACAGAGGACACAGGCACCTCAAACAGCCCAGCACCCAGATTGGCTCAAACAGGGCTGCATATGCTCAGAGCAGGGAGGGCCACACTGTGGTCACAGAGGGGTGGTCACAGGAAGCTGATGCAGCACTGACTTTTCAGGAACTTGCGGAGCTCCGGTTTCTCCTCCAGCCTGGTCTGCAGGTTGAGGAACTCCCGGTAGCGGCGGTTCACAGTGTGGTAGGCCATCTGCTGAAGGCTGCCTGCAACCTCACCCTCCAGGGCTGTCTCATACTGAGGAGGAAAGCAATGCTCGTTAACCCTTACAGACCTCCAAGCAATACCGCGTTGCCCACACATCCCCCACCTAACAACTCCCCAGCTCTCTCCCCACACAGCACACAGGTTCCTCACAATGAAGGGATGGGTGACATGGGGCTACAACTCACCTTGATGGTGTACAAGGTGTAGGGGTGGAAGCCAGTCCCGCTGTGCTCACGGGCAGTGATGGTGCCGGTTATGCGCAGGTTCTGGATGACCACTGGTCCATCGGGGCTGCTGAGGGGCTCAAAGCTGAAGGTGCCAATGGGAGCAGTCGGGGAGGATGAGAGCAGGGGAAGGGGCTGAACAGGGTCTGATGGGCTTTGTGGCAGGGCCTCTGGTGTTCCCAATTCTCTCCCCAAGCTGCAGGGCCGTTGCACAGAGCACTTCTTGGGACTATCCTCCTCTGTCTCCATCACTGGATCAATCTGGATGTCAGGGCAGGAGCCCAGAACATAAGCAGATGGGAGTAGCAGTCCAGCATCACTACTGGTGGTGTGGCCATCCTCCAGATCCCCCATCCCATCCTCTGAAGTGTCTGCTCCCTCCAACAGAGCGGGAACATCAGGGAGATGCTCATCAAGAAACTCCCCAGCAGGTGATGGTGCCAGCAGCTCCACATCCTGGCCTGGAGAATCCAGCTCCAAACCCTCATAAGGGAACAGCAAGCCCAGGCCTCGTGGCCTCAAGACAACCCCGTCACTACAGGGTGGCTCACACGGCACATCCACACCATCCTCGCCACCAGCCCCTGCTTCTCGCCCAGGTGATGGGGATAGAAGCGGTACTGCTGGGGCAGCACCCAGCTGAACTGTGAGAGGCAGAGAGTCTGGCACTGGAACTGCAGGGCTGGGCTCCTCACCCTGTGCCTTCCTGGGGAAGGCCCCAACCAGCAGCAGGTTGATCCAGTCGGGGTCAGCCATCTTCCTGATGGCGGGCAGCAGCACGTTACAGGCCACCAGCTCCACCACCACAAAGCGACCCGTCCGCGTCTCCAGGTGGGGCCGAGGCACCAAAGCCTGCAGCAGCAGCTCCACAGAGGCACGGGCATAGCTCGCCTCAGCCGCTGGGCTGCAGAGGGCTGGATGCAGGCCCGCGACCCGGCGGTACTCCTCCCACAGCAGCCCATGGCCCCGTAGGGCCTGCAGGTAGCTCTGCAGGTGACGGCCGCACAGCAGGAGCAGCCGGCGGGCCAGAGCCTGGCGGTCAACCCGTGCCATCCGCCGCCTCAGCTCAGCTGCCAGCCCCATCATGGCCTTCTCCACCTCAGCCTCAAAGGCGCGCTCACTGCTGACAGTGCGATACCAGGAGGAGACGAAGTCCCTCACCACTTTCCTGACGGTGCTGCTGATTTCCTGCTCCAGCCGCTCCTCTGCCTCAGGGCTGTGTGCCGTCGGCCGCAGGGATCCAGCAAAGCGCTCTAAGCGCAGCCTCCAGCCTGGCCTGCTCAGAGCTCGGGGTCCCAGCCACCCACCCAGCACTGCTGCGGTCCCACACAGCAGCGCCAGCACCTGCAGGTCCAGCAGCAGCACCAGCAGCCAGCCCAGCACGGCCACCAGGGCCAGCATCTCACGGCGGCACGGCATGGTGCAGCAGCGGTGGGGTTCTGCGGTCAGGCTCTGCGATCTGGATTTGGTATCGGGGCTGCAAACACCGGGCCTCAGCCGAACCACCTCTGGGCCAGCAGGCTGCGAGGAGCGGGCAGCAGGGGCTGCAGCCGGTAGGCTGCTCAGAACTAACAGCCGCTGGGGCTCTGGGCACTCGGGCTAGGAGAAGCACGCACGCAGCTGGGCATTAGGGCCAGCCGAGCACTCAGTTTATAGAGCTGCTACCTACTGGGCTCCCAACCGAACATTACGGCCGCAGCCCCCTCGCACAGCGCCACTCAATGACCCCACGCGGCTCCAAGCCCCGGGGCTGCACGCAGCACGGCTTCACCGACCACACCGCCCCCTCCGCGTCCCTCCCTGACCCCTCACCGAGCACCAGAACCGCAACCGGCAAACACCAGAGCACCGACACAGCAACTCCGCGGCTCCAATCTCAGCCACCCGACATCGCTCCAGGCCCCGGAGCTCCGCGCTACCGGCTGCGCCCCGCAACGGCACGACCGCACCAGGATCCGGGCGGCGCGAGATCCGCCTCTTTTCCCTCCTTTTCCGGCCCCGCCCCACGCGGCTCCGCGCGCACTGCAGCGCCCTCTGGCGGCGGCCGCGCGGCGCTGCAGCCGTTAGGCGCGCGGCACTGCAGCCGTTAGGCGCGCGCTGGAGGTTCCCGCACGCGCGCTGGGCTTCTTTTGCACGCGCTGTGAAAATGGCAGAGTTCGCCTTCGCGGTTCTCGTCGTGCATTGAGAACAACAGCAAAAAAAGTCAGTGCTCTCATATTGACGTTCCAGCGCGCGCTTTGTTGTGATGGGGACGTGTGTAAAATGGTGCAGTTTTGCACTTGGGCCGGAGGAATCCCAGGCATCCATACAGACTGGAAGGAGCGGTCCTTGAGAGCAGCCCTGCAGAGGAGGACCTGGGGGTGTCGATAGATGAAAAGCTTAACGTGAGCCAGCAGTGTGCATTGCAGCTCGGAAAGCAAATGGGATCCTGGGCTCCGTCAGCAGAGGGGTGGCCAGCAGGGACGGGGAGGTGATCGTCCCCCTCTGCTCTGCTCTTGTGAGGCGCCACCTGCAGCACTGCGTCCAGGTGTGGAGGCCCCAAGAAAGACAGGGAGCTGTTGGAGAGGGTCCAGAGGAGGCCACAAAGATGATCAGGGGACTGGAGCACCTCCCTCATGAAGACAGGCTGAGGGAGCTGAGCTTGTTCAGCATGGAGAAAGGAAGGCTGCGGGCTGACCTCAGTGCAGCCTTCAGTACCTGAAGGGAGCCTACAGACAGGAGGGGAATCAACTCTTTGAAAGGGTAGGTAACAGCAGGACAAGGGGAAATGGTTTTAAGTTGAGGGAGGGCAGATTGAGGTTGGATATCAGTGGGAAGTTCTTCGATATGAGAGCGGTGAGGTGCTGGAACAGCTGCCCAGAGAGGCTGTGATGCCCCGTCCATCCCTGGAGGTGTTCAAGGCCTGGTTGGATGGGGCCCTGGGCAGCCTGGGCTGCTGTGAAATGGGGAGATTGGTGGCCCTGCCTGTGGCAGGGGGTTGGAGATCCGTGATCCTTGAGGTCGTTTCCAACCCAACCATTCTGTGAAAACACAGTGGCTCGGAGCTGAGGGATTCGGGAGGCTGTAAAGCTGCGGTGCTGCTGTGGGGAGGTGGCTGCAGAGCTCTGAGCCCCGTGTGGGACATCAATCACAGTGCAAGTCTGGCACAGAGAAGCGTGGTGCGGTTCTTCGCCTCGGGGCTCGTTTCTTTCTCCCCTCCCCAAGTAGTGACAGGAGCTGCTTGGATGGATGGAGAAGGCAGCTCCCATCAATCCTATCCTCAGTCATTCCCTATGGTGAAATTGTGGCTTTTGTTGCAGTGCTTTTTTGGAAGATGAGCACAGTGTGAGCTGTGGCACAACGGCGAGCTGAGGTGTGGGGGTGTGAGGTGCTGAGCCCTTGGCTGGGGTGGGCAGAAGGCAGCGTGAGGCTGCTGCAGTGCTTTGGGTCTGACTTTGTGTTAAAGCACTGAGGCTGTGCATGAGCACTGTTACTATAGGATGGTGAGATTCAGATGCCCTGCTCAAATATGGGTGATGCAGGCACTCCTGACGCATCACTCAACAGGCGCTGGTGGGACTCCCTCTCCCCCCCCCATGCTTTGCTTTTAAATTATTTAATGAGCTCCTTAAGCTGTTTAGCATGGAATTTGTCAAGGCTCCATCAGCCATATACAGCACAATGTGACAGCCATACTTCTATTACAAACAGCGTATTAATCTTGGAATAGCGCTATTTGTTTTCCTCCTTTGCTTTTATGCTGCTTAAAAGCATGTATCTTCTCCTGAAAATCAATAACTAAAGCTATGAATAATAAAAAAACACTGTGGCGAATGGCTCGTGGAGATCCTATGGCTGCAAGTTGCAGCAGTAATGACTCTGTTTGCTAGCCGTTAAGTATGTGAACTCAGAAGAATTATGCAGATTATAATAGCTGTATCAACATAAGTATGTTTTGCTGATAGACTTTCCTGATTGGATCCGCAGGACGTAAGCCTGCTAATCCCCTGCATCGAGGACCTGATTATATGAGAGCGCTCTGCGGATCTGCAGATAGAAAGTGAAGAAACAATTAAAAGAAATGCTGGCCCATGTGCGGCGTTTCTCCGAAGCTCTGCTGTTGTTGCCGTTTTTGTGTTTCTCTGTAAGATTTTTCTCTTTCCCTGTGGCTTGGCTGGAGGCCAATGGACCCAGCTCCGAGCCCTGCAAACACACAGAATCACACGCTTTGTGCTTTGCTCATTGATGTGCAGGCAGTGTGATGTGGCCTGTTGGATGTGGGTGTCTGCATGACCTTCCCTTCTCCACTCCTCAGCCTCCCAGAGATCTGCTGGCTGGAGCTAATAATGGTGCTGCAATGAAAAGACCCCCTGTAATTAAAAAATCTGCTCGCTGTGCACTTGACAGTCTTCAAAGTTGTACAATTTTGCATGTAGGAATTTGCATGTAAGATCTGCTTATTAACATCATCTTGCTAATATCAGCTGTCACTGCAGGAGGTTGCAGTCAGCTCTACAAACTCTGCTCTTGCTTAATGATGCTTCAGATGTCTTGTAGTTGGTTCTGGTGTTGCTCTGCGCCTCAGTTTCCCCTTCCTGTTCATCCTCCAAAGCTGTGCCACTCCCCTCATGCTGTGTGATTGCCTGGGAAACGTCCATGGGATACATAGGAAGGTTGGTGCATTGGAATTCCCCATCCTCCCTGGTTGTTCCTTTCCCTGTGCTGCTGTGGGCTCTGGCTGTGAGTTTGTGGTGCTTGACGGACACCTTGGCTCCCCTCTGCCTCTTGCATTGATGCTTGGAGAGGTTCTGGCAGCTCCTGAAAGGAGTAGAAAGGAGGTCGTTGTGCATCAGGGCTTGTCAGGAAAAGATTCCCCCGGTCAGCAGAGATGCATGCAGAATTCTGAAATGTGCTATTTGTTTTTAGTTTAATTTTGAGCAAAAAATAAAAGCACCTTTCCACCAGGATCTCTTCCAGCAGTTCTGCTCTGTGCTGAGTGGGGCAGCAGGGAGGAGCTGGCGTCTCCATGCCCATCTCAGATGTTTTTGCAATAGATTTGCAGCCAGGCTCCTCTGACTGGTGGTGAAGGTGGGACTGGAAGCTGTGGAGAGGCTGGGCATTTTGTCCTGTGCTCCCAGTCAGCACCCAGCTCCAAAAAAAGCAACCCAAGAGATAAATCAGGCTGCCACAGGAAATATAGGATGAACAAATCTTAATTATGGCTTAAATCCCAACTGGGGAGGCGTGTATACTGTTAGTGATGGTTTCCAGGCTGCTGGGGGTGCTGTGTTGGAATAGCAGTGCTGTACTCACTGCACAGGGACCGGGGGGTCACCATCCCTGGGGGTGTCCCATTACTGGGGATGTGGGCAGTGGGCATGGTGGGATGAGGTGGGGTTGGGGAGCTGAGAGGTCCTGTCCAGCCCGGATGATTCTATTCTGTGAAGGGTGCTGCATCTGACTTCATGAGAGCATCAGCTCTAGGGTTGGCTTCCGCTTTCCCATATAGGCTAAGGGAAGGGTATGGGTTGGGTTGGCAGGAGGGATTTGTCTGGGAGCGGAGGAGGTGGAGGCAGGATGCCATCTCCCACCCGCTGCCGTCCAACCTAGGAAGCCATTGCTGCAGCAGCTCACCCTATGCTGTCTGGCATCCCATTAGCAAATAAATTCGTTATGTTCAGGACAACGCAGTCACTTAATGTGATGTGCACATCACCAAACCCCAAACGTGCTGCGTGCGGAATCGGGCGAGTTGCGGTGATGAATGTCATGCAAAACTCCAAGGCACTAATTGAAGGTGGTTTCAACAGAATATTCAATTAATGCTCTCTGCGTCGCAGACAGTCTGGAAAAGGCGCTGTTTTCTCCCGAGGATCTGTGTTACTGTGCAACAAACAGATGAAAATGAACCGTTTTACGGCCTTCTAATTGAAAGTCGATGCACCAGTTTTATTAAAATTTTCATGGTGGGGGGAACTGGATGCCTGAGGGGTTTGGTAATGGGATGAGCGAGCTGCCTCGCATCCAGCCGCAGGCAGGAGCAGCTGGGAGCAAAGGGCTGAGCCGTCCCTGGTGGCACGTGTGGCGGTGGCAGGTGGCCCTGCAGTGGAGCAGGGTCTGCGTGGAGCAAAGTGAGGGACTGCTGTGTCTGTCAATAAACGCCTCCTGCCTCCTTCTGGGACGCGCTGTCCTTTCAGATGGGAGCCAAAAAAATGAGCTGCGACTTCACAGAAATCAGCCTGTTTGCTGCCTGATGCATTGAAGCTGTTGGCTTGGGGCCTTCCCTTGCATTGGTGTATGAGTACTAATTTATGCTCCTGCATCTGATGATGATTTAGCTGTTTTAAAGTGTTATTTACGATGTGTTCCTGCACCCATTTCGCCATGATGATAGTGTTTTGATAATGGGAATTTACAGTCCTCTCTGACAAGAGGCTGTAAACCAACCGGCTGGATGTGTTTTTGTATTCCTACAGGCCTAATTTGTAACATAAAGCACTTAATAATTGTTATTAATGAACCTGCTGTGGTCAGTCTATGGACCCAGCTGGAAATCACATCTGCTGTTGGATTTGCAGTGAATTCCTGCAGGTGGAAGGAGCACGGCTGGAGCAGGATGGGTTTGGGGAGTGTATGGGAACTGCTGCATGGCCTGAGCCTCGGGTTGAGGACCTGAGGTGAGCAAGGAGTCAACCTGGGAGCACAGGTGAAGGCAGTTCTGTGCTGTGGAGGGGTGGAGCCTGGCTGCACCTCTCCTGGACCCCATTTAAGAGCTGACTGCCACGGGGGAAGGTTTTCTTTCTGGAGATCCTCTGGAGTTTTGCAGTGGGCCTGGGACAAGGTAAGCGCTATCTATTCTCTTTTTGGTGTGATAATTTGTTTAGCCAAACTTTCTTGTTTATCTCATAATTATGATTTCTGTGCATTCATTGTTTACACAGGGAGGTTTGTGGCTGTGTGGGGTTCTGTCACCCCACACTGTGAGGGGCGAATTGGTGT